CCCAAAGCACGGGATTACAGGCTGAGCCACTGAGCCCAGCCAGAGTGTGCTTTTTAAAGTTACAAATTAGGTCCCATTGCTCCCCTTCTCAAACCTCCCGAAGAATGAATAAGGGCCCAGTTGGAGCCGGGCTCGGTGACTCAGCCTGTAATCCTGCGCTTTGGGAGGCAGAGGTGAGTGGATTGCCTGAGCCCGCAGATTTGAGACCCGCCTGGGCAACTTGACGAGACCTCATCTCTACAATAAATCAAAAAAATATTAGCCGGGTGTGGTAGCACACGCCTGTAGTTCCAGCTACTTGGAAGGCTGAGGCAGAAGGATCACTGGAGCCCAGCAGGTCAAGGCTCCAGTGGCTGGGTGCAGCCACTGCACTCCAGTCTGGGTGACAGAGTGAGACTCCAACTCAAAAAATAAAAATAAAAATAAGGGCCCAGCTTAGCTGAGACTCGAAAGAGGAGCATTCTGGGCTGGGAGCAGGCGAGCATAAGAGCAGAAGGAACTGGAGGAAGGTCACCGGACTGGGGCCGAGCATGAGAGGAGCGCACTTGGTGGGGGCAGGGTGGGCACCAGTGGTCAGAATCAGGACTGTACGTCTAAACATCACAAGTTGCTGACACCCGCCCCTCTGACTGGTTCACAAGAGGCAGTAGCCTGCAAGATTAGGAGCCAACCCTCTGGGTTCAAAGCGTGGTGGTCGCATACAGGAGCTGTGTGTCCTCCTCCTGGGACCTGCCCTCTCTGTGCCTTGGTTTCCTTATCTCCATCTTCCAGGCTGTCTGCTGGCCCCCTCCTTTGCAGAGCCAAAGGGAAACCTGTTGCTAAGGCAGAAACACCAGATTGCAGAGTCAAAGTCTGAATATGCAGAGAGTAGGGAAGGGAGACTTTGGGGTGAAAGACAGTACTTGTAGACAGGCATAACCTTGTTAAAATAACCCTGGTGCCTGCCTTGTGCATCTGTGGGAATTAACAAATGAATCGACATGTGTGAAGCACTGTATTAGTTTCCGGAAGCTGCTGCAAATAAGCTCCACAGACCGGGCAGCTTAGGCAATGGAAATTTATTCTCTCACGGTTCTGGAGTCCAGAAGTCCCTGGTCACATTGTCTGCAGGGCCTGCTCCCTCTGAGGGCTCTGGGGAATGCTCTCCAGGCCTGTCTCCCACCTGTAGGCATCTTCCTGGCCCGAGGCAGTGTAACTCCAGCCTTGGCACAGCCTTCTCTCTGTGTGCATGCCTGTTTCTGCCCAAGTTCTCCCTTTCACCAGGACACCTGTCATATTGGATCAGGGCCCCCATTCCAGGATGGCCTCATCTTAACTAATGACATCTGCAGTGACCCTATTTCCAAATAAGCTCATGTTCTTGAGGTCCTGGAGGTTGGGACTTTGACATGTGAATTATGTTTTTTGAGGTGGGGCACATAATTCAACCCGTAAAAACCACTTAGGGTAGCACCTGGTCCACAGCCCTGCATAGGAAGTGATAAGTATTGCTGACCTCGCCATCACCATCTGCCCTGCTCTGCCTGGTCCATTCCATCCCCAGCATTGTGGCATCTACTGGAAGGCACTGCTCCTTCCATGCAGACTTCTCTCCATCCCTCAACAGTCCGATCTACCTTTTAAGGCTTGAGTCTTGATTCAGCCTCTCTCCCCTGCCTGGACTCTCCCTCCAAGGACCCAACCACCAGTTCCCCCACAGACTACTCACTGTCACCTTTCCAAAGTCTTTGTGAACACCCCCTAAAGCTGCCATTACTCAGTGCCTTGAGAACTTCTGTCATACCTCTGTGATTGCATTTGCCAAATTGCATGTGTTTTCGCCCACCTCTCCCTGGAGGGACTTGTTCTTGAACCTTCCGTGTCTGTATCCCAGCACCTGGCTCAGTGCCTGGGGCTCCCAGATTCCACCCACCCTGTTGTGCTCCTGATGCCTGAGGCGATTCACTGGCTAATGGTCACGTTGCCTTCAGTTCCTCTCCGTCTGGTTCTCAGATCTGTGACTTCATGTTCTGAACTGTCCTTATTTCTTTTTTTTCTTTTTTTTTTTTTTTTTTGAGGTGGAGTCTCACTCTGTTGCCCAGACTGGAGTGCAGTAGCCACTCCCAGCCACCTCAGCCTCGACCTGCTGGGCTCCGGCAATCCTTCCGCCTCAGCCTTCCAAGTAGCCGGAATTACAGGCATGCGCTACCACGCCTGGCTGATTTTTTGAATTATTGTAGAGATGAGGTCTCGCTGCCCAGCCAGGTCTCGAACCCGCGGGATCAGGCATGTCCTTACTTCTTTCAGAATACCATCCCAATTCAGACACCGAGGAAACTGTGAGTGGTCCCTTCAGAACCTTGTACCTTGTTGAAATCACTTCAGACACATCCCATCTGCCTTCCCTAAACCCCTCGGCTTTTCTGGCCATTTCTCCAGGTTCTTTAAGGAGGGCCCATCTGTGAATGGATGTGGGTTTCCTCTTACAGGAAGCAGTGACATTCAGGGATGTGACTGTGGACTTCACCCAGGAGGAGTGGCAGCAGCTGGAGCCTGCCCAGAAGGACCTGCACAGGGAGGTCATGCTGGAGAACTACAGGAACCTGGTCTCACTGGGTAAGGGGGTGAGGTTTGTTGAGTTCCTCACTGCTGGCTCATAACTTGAGGACCACATAGAAACAAGAGAAAAGATGGACAGATTTGGCTACATAGAAAGTTTTTAAAAATTGCTTTATTTAAAGCTAAAAATGAACTCGATAGATGACGACATGGGGAATAGCATTTCTTGCATGTATAACAATAAAAGGGTCATGATTATGTAAAGAGCTCCTAGGAATAAATGAGAAAAATGACTAAATGAATAACAAAATAGACCAAAACCAAACTTATGAGCTGGTGATTCACAGATGTAGAAATGCACAAGGTTAACTTTATTAAAGTTTTGTTAACCTTATTAATAGAGAAATTCAAAATGAGTTATCAGTTTTTTCCCATGAGGTATATAAAAAAAAATAGCCTGTATTATGAGAGTGTAGTGAAAAAGATTTTCTCATTTTAGGAGTATAAAGTTGGAGCGACTCTTTTGAAAGACAGCTTGGCATTATCAACCAAATTTTAAATGATTTAGTTTTTAGGGATCTGTCCTTTAGAAAGTTCCTCTTAAGTGTGCAAAGTGTTACATGGGAAGAAAAATGAAGGAAAACCGCCTCCGTGCCCAGCTGCACAAGACTGACCAAACATATCCAAGTCTATGAATATAATGGAAATCATGCCATTCTTCAAAGCTGAAAACTCATTGTAGGTACCACCAGGGAACAATGTCCCATGATGTACAGTTAGGTGAAGGCACTCACTTTCAGAAATAGAGCATGGTCCCATGTCTTTTACAGCATCTTTGGAGGCATAACTGACCTACAATTAGTGGTACATAGTTAAAGTGAAGAGTTCAGTAGATTTTGAGATACATGCATACCCAGGAATCACCATGATCAAGATAAGGAACATGTCTGTTATCCCCAAAGCCTCTTCATACTCCTTTAATTTTTTGGTGGGGGGAGGTGTAGAGACAAGGTCTTGCAATGTTGGCCAGGCTGGTCTCAAACTCCTGCCTTAAGCAATCCTCCTGCCTTGGCCTCCCAGAGTTCTGAGGTTACAGGCGTGAGCCACTGTGCCCGGCCGCTTGTATTATAGTCCATCTCTCTTCCCTTCACCCCCCAGTCCCACTGGTCTGCTTTATGTCACTGTCATTGAGTTTGCATATTCTTGAATTTTCGCACATGGAATCATACAGTATATAATCTTTTTCTATCCTACTCTTTTTGGTTTGACTTGGCATTATTTTGAGATCGACCCATATTGTTGCACATACCAGTGTATTTCTTTTTACTGCTGTGTATCAGTTCACCATTTGGACATACCACAGTTTGTTCACCATTCACTGGTGATGAACATCTGGGATGTTTCCAGTTCTCGGCTTTTACAAATAAAGCTGCTGTGAACATTTGTGTACAGGTATCTGCAGACATACACTTTCCCTTCTCTAGTGGAAAGTCTGGGTCACATGGTACATGCATATTTAACTTTTTAAACAAACCACCAAGCAGTTTTCCAAAGTGGTTGCCCATTTTCCATTTCCACTGGCAGTGCACAAGAACTCTTGTGGCTCCAGCTCTTTAATTTTAGCCCTTCTTGCGGGTGTGTAGTCTCATCACATTGTGGTTTTCCTTTGATACTGAGAATCTTGTCTTGTGCTTACTTGATGTTTGCATATTCTCTTTGTTAAAGGATTCATTCCAGTCTTTTGCCTGTTGTTTTAAGTTTGGTTGTTTCCTTATTACTGAGTTGAGAGTTTTTGTATATTCTTGATATACTTCCTTTGTGAGATATATACCAAGCAGATAGTTTCTCTGTTCCATGGGTTGTCTTTTCACTTTCTTGATGGCATCATTTGGAACATAAAGGTTTTTAATTTTGATGTAGTTCATTGTGTATCTCTTTTTTTGTTCTTGTTGCTTGAGCTTTCGGCATCATGTCTAAGAAACTTAACTCAGGAACCGGAAGATTTACTCCTGTGTTTTCTTAGTGCTTTAGCTCTTTATTTAGGTCATCTATCCGTTCTGAGTTAATTTTGTGAATGACGTAAGAAAGGGCCTCAGCATATGGGTGCCCAGGTGTTCCAGCACCGTTTGTTGACGAGCAGTTTTTAATTTGAAGTTTATCTGGTTTTTTTCTTTTATGGGTTGTGCTTTTGGTGTCACAGATAAAAGATGTTTGTATATTCCAAGGACACAGGGTTTCCTTCTGTAAGTTATATAGTTTCAAGTTTTACATTTTATTCTTTGATCCACTTAGAGTTAATTTTCTTGTATATAAAGTATTAATCCGTGATTGATTTTTGGCAAATATATGTCCACTTGTTCCAGCACCATTTGTTGACAAGACTGTTCTTTCCCCAGTGAATTGCCTTTGCACTTTTGTCAAAATTCAGTTGTCTGTAAGTGTGTGAGTCCAATTCTGGATTCCGTTCTGTTCCATCTGTTTGTGTTGACACCAACACCAAGAAGTGTGGCCCTTTCAGATCTTGGTCTTATGGCTTGTGCTCATTCCAGAAAGACATTTCCCCCTAAGACCCTTGGGTGTCCTTCCCACTGCCCCATGGATGACAAGGCTTTGCAGCATGGCTACTAGGAAGAGACACCACCCAGCCCCATGGCTGCTCTGGGCTGTTCTTGAATCCTTTCGGATGGTTTTTTTCCAGTGTTGGGTAGTTTCCCTTCACACACGTTCTGATTGGTAGTCTGCTGAATCTCCAGTCTCCCTCTGTGCAGCACTTTCCTCTCCGGTGCTCTGTCCTGTGAACCCCACCTGCCTTGGACTCTCAGCTCTAACCCCTCAACTTGGGGGGTCTGCCAGACTGTGCCTTTGCTTCCCCCTCCTGTATCACGGCCTGGAAACCATCCGGGCAGTAAGTGGGGGCAGTCCCAGGGGCCGCCTGGCTTGATTCCCATCTCTCAGGGATTATTGCCCTTCATTGCCTGATATCTAGTGTCTTCAAAACCATTGTTCTGTATATTTTGCTGTGTTTGTGTGTGCGTGTGTGTTTTAGGCTGGAAGGAATCTAGTCCTTTATATCCATCTTGGCCGGAAACCCCATTTGGGGAAAAACAGTGTGCATTCATATATGTGTGTACGGGTGTGGTGTGTATTTTTTAAAAGAAATGTATTGGGGGAAAAATCCTAAAAACATAAACCAAACTGTTAACTCTGATGAGTGAGATTATGAAGACTTTCATTTTCTCAGTTACTTTCTGGATGTTTGATGTTTTAATAAGTGTGAATTACTTTGAAATCAGAAACAATCATAGAAAGACAGAAAATGGAAAAAGAAACTATGAAGGACAAGAGATTTAGCACTGTGAAGAAACGCAGTCACATTTTGATCAACAGGAATGGACAGCAACTTCACGTTGGTGGTCCCTGGCCCGAGCGCCCCTGGCCCAAGCACCCCCTGCAGTGGTGTCCCTGTGACGCCTCCCGTCGTGACCGTGGGCAGGAGCACCAGCACCTGTTCCTCACCATTAGGCTTTCTGCTCTCTTGCTGGTAGTTTTAATCCAGTTGACATCGAGCTGTGTTATTGCAGCACTCATGGTTAAGACCTGGGCACCTGCTGTTTGCAGATGTCTCCACTGCAGGGTTTTAGCTGTGGAAGGGCAGTGGCCTCCTTCCCCTCTGATGGGTGTGCCTCAGCCCTCCTGGCCTCTGTAGGGAATGTTCATGGGGAGTCTCTCTGCTGCATTCACAGCCAAGACCATTTCCTCCGGCCGCTGCAGCTCTGTGCTTTCTCTTGTCCCAGAGTGCCTCAGTCCCCATCAGCCCCAAGCACACTTGCCACTGCCCTTCCTTCCAACTCACCACTGAGAAGCTCCCATGCTACCACTCACCCTGACACCTGGGCATCGTACCACCATCATTCTCCTGCATTTGGTATTTCTCACCTCTTCCCCTGAAATGGGAAAGGCAGCGTGTGGCAAGACAGTGACCACCACCGCCCAGCTTGCGTCCCAGTGGTGGCATAGGTATGCCTTGTGGCCTTGAGTCCATGTCTGTCTCCTGGAGCCCTGGTCTGTGAAATGGGGGTTGGCATCACCACCATGACTGTTCCCAGGTCACGGATGGCAGAGGTCTCAGGGAGATCTGTGCACACTGCTAAGCACCTGACTGGGCCATGGCCAGTGCCCCGTGACTGCTTGTCCACTGCCCTCGGGGCTGCTGGAGAACTGGGATGGGCAGGGTACGTGTCCAGTGGGGCTGGCTTCTCCTGAAGGCTAGCCCAGGAAAGGTTGCCACAGACCACTGACTGCTCGACAAGCCAGGCAAGCTAGCCATGGGAGGACTCTTCCTTCCCTGCGCAGGTGGGTGGCAAAGGCCTTTCATGGGGGTGACGGAAGCAGGCCTGAAGGGCGAGAAGGAGTGTCCACAGGCAGGCCCAGGGGAGTCGGCAGGCGCAAAGGCCCCAGGGTCGGAAGACCTCAGTGGGGGGGAGGGGACAAGAAGGGAGCAAAGTGTGGCCGATGAGGGAGGATGGGATGACCTGGAGACGGGATGACCCGGCTCTGTCCAGAGGCCAGAGGCCGCTGCAAGGGGCTGGCTTCATTCTCAGTGCATTGGGAGGCTATGGGAGGGCTTGATCTGACTCGGCAGAAGACCCCACTCTGAGGAGTGGAGAAGGTATTGTAGAGGTGCCAGTGGGCTGGGAGGACTGGCCAGAGCCACTGAGCACTTCGGGCGAGAAGCCTATGGCAGCCAACCAGGTCGTGGGCAGTGGGACAGAGATTTTCTCGGCTTCAGGCTGTGTGTGCTCCAGCCGCACTTGTGGGCATCTAGATGGTGAGAGGGAAGGATGGCTGCTGGGTCTCTCTTTTTTAATTTTTAAAAGGTATTGCAAAACTATGATAAAATCTACAGAACCTAAAGTGTGCGATTCTTGCCATTTTCAGGAATACAATCCTGTGGCCTTAGGGACACTCACGTGGTCATGCAGCCTCCACTGCCACTATCTCAGAGCCTTCTCATCTCCCTGCTGAAGGCTCTGCTTCCCCTGGCCCCGGCATCTCCATCCCACTCTGTCTCTGAATCTGACTCCAGGTACCTCACTGGAGTGCAGTCACGGTGTTTGTGCCTCCATGTTTGACTTATTTTGCCAAGTTTCTTCGATGGGCTTAAACTTTTTTATGGTCGAGAAGTTCTGAGTCACAAGTTTCACCTCAAATGCATGAGGCTGGGATGTCTACTGGCAATGCCGGGTCATCCTGAATGTCCCCAGCAGGGCCTGGGTGCGGCACCCAGTGGGGCGGGGCCAAATGCTTGAGCATTGTCAGGGCATGGTGACAGTAGATCTAGTCTTGCTTTGTGTGGCATTGGGGACCTGGGACTCAGGGGAGGAGTCTTAAAGCCAGGTGGGTGCGGGCACCAGGGGTCGTGTCAATGGGGAGGGGGCAGCTGCAGCCCACCCAGCGTCTTGTCACCTGCAGGAAGGAGGCTCCATGTGTGCTCATTTTTAATGAGGAAGCAGCCAGAGAGACAGGAGTTTTCAAGTGTTGGGCGTGAGTCCCTGGCGTGGAGTCTGGCCTCTGGAGAGCCGGGCGGGGAAAGGAGCCTTAGACATGGAGAGGGTGGGTACAGAAGGTGGCGGGATCAGGGCATGGATGGTTGGCCCGGGAGGAGGGACACAGGGAAGACGCCTGGACCAAGCTCCTGAAACTGGAACTGGGCAGCGAGGAGGGTGTGAGGGGTGGCAGAATCCTGCAACTGTGCTGGGCCCCATGGGAGGCTGTGTGTGTGTGTGTGTGTGTGTGTGTGTGTGTGTGAGCTCAGGGTTGTGAAAGCCCTAGGGCGGGCAAGGGCCCAGGCCGGCAGGAGCAGACACTGGAGGACAACCTCGGGCCGTGCACCAGAGAAGCTTCACTCTCATGTCACCCTCAGTCTCCTACAGCTCACACATGCACAGGAACCCAGGGGGCAGAGTCTGGCTCGTCAGGTGCAGGGGGACAGAGGGGTGGAGGGGTACAGACAGGGGCTCCCGAAGTACAGGTGGGCAGAGGAGGGGCCATAGAGGATCTCCCAGGGTGCAGTGGGGCAGGGAGGGACAGAGGGTCTCCTGGGGCACAGGGGGACAGAGGAGGGGATAAACGGGCTCCTAGAGCACGGGGGCAGGGGAGGGGACAGAGAGCGCCCCAGGGCACAGGGCATTGGGGTGGGGCAGAGAGGGTCTCCTGAGGCACAAGGGGGCAGAGAGGGGCTCCCAGGGCAGCGGGGGGGGCGCAGAGGAAAGGGACAGGGAGGGGTTCCCAGGCACAAGGGGACAGGGTGGGGGCAGAGAGGGTCTCGCGGGACACAGGGACAGAGAGAGCTCCCCAGGGCACAGGACATTGGGGTGGGGACAGAGAGGGTCTCCTGAGGCACAGGGGGGCAGAGAGGGGCTCCCAGGGCACGGGGGGCGGGTAGAATGGGGACAGAGAGAGGCTTCCAGGATGCAAAGGGCAGGGGGAGGCAGAGATGGGTGGATCTCAGACGGCAGGTTGGCGAGTGGAGAATAACCAGCCCAGTGATGTGAACGCCAGCTGTCACATTATTTCTAGTATCGACTGGTGCTGGAGAGGCAGTGGTGGCTTGTGTGGGCTGGCCTGAGGCCAGGCTGCACTTCGGGTGGCCCCCACCCACACGCAAGGCCGCAGAGCCCGTGACTCTCTACCCCAGCCGCTACCCTAGGCTCCCCTTCAGGTGTCTGAGCCACCTTCCCTCCCACTCCAAGGGGACGTGTCCGGGCCTCCTTTAGCCCCTGTGGCTTCTGCCTCGGGACGCCACCAGGCTCCCCTACCCAGAGGCCGTGGCCTCCTGACTCCACCCACGCCCGCTGACCCACTCTAGCTGGGGCGCCTCGTGCCCCCGTTGCCACAGCCATGCACACCTCCTGTTTCTGCTTTGTTCTTTTAGACTGGGAAGCTAGACCTGAGATGGAGGAGGTGGATTCAGAGGACGACGTTTCGGAAGACAAGCTGTCCATTGCAGTGGTCGCCTGGGGACACGCCTCCAGGGTGAGGAGGTCGGTGAGGCCACGCAGAGGCGCGCGGGAGCCGCTTGGAGCCCCCTGGGGGGACGCGCTCCCAGCGCCGTCCGACCCCGAGCGCCGTGAGCCCAAGGCGTGTGCCAACCACCGCTCCGCTGCATGCCCCAGGTCAGAGGGGCCCCGGGATGAGGCGACCCGCCTCCACGTGATGCACGGCCAGGGCTCCCCGGGCTCCCCGGGTCCGGCAGAGCGCAGCCCGCCCCCCGCGCCCTGCACTAAGTCCTTCAGCTGCGATGAGTGCAGCAAGGCCTTTGGCCAGAGCTCGTCCCTGGCCAAGCACCAGCGCGCCCACTCGGGCGAGCGGCCCTTTGTCTGCGCCGCCTGCGGGAAGCACTTCCTGGAGCGCTCATCGCTCACGGTCCACCA